TCATTTCATGCTGCTTTTATATGGTAACTTATTATTTAAAGGGTGTAAATTTGTACCCTAAAACAGTTACAACTGTATAAATTGTTATCTTAATTTTAAAAATAAATTAAACTAATCATATACAAATAAAGTTATGCATACAACAACAATGTGGAAGCACTAAATCCTAACAAGGAAAAAGAAAGATTTCAATTTGTAGATTATGCCTTCAACGTGAGTAAGTTTAGATAACAATAATAAAAGAGAACTGAATATAAAACTGGCATATGGATAAAATAATATGGGTTGGAAGACAAGTTAATATAATTAAGAAGGAAGTAATAGAGCAATAAATGAAACCAAATTATAGGTTTTTTGTAGGAATGCAATTTTAAGGATTAGAAAGCAATGTCCACTGCTCTAGTTAACATGCTTATGGCTTAAAAGAAAATAGTTTTATTATGCACAATCGTATATGTTGTAGAGAAAATATGTCAAATCTAACCTATGAGTTTGCTAATGTCTTTACTTTTTTAACCTTTAAAGAAACTTTATAGGTTTTGTGAGATTGGGCGCGTTCAGGGTGGTATAGCGATAGCACAGTGGCAGGGAATTCGCCTTACAAGCGGCCAACATGGCCGACCCGAGTTCGATTCCTCTCCCCTCTCGGAGAGCCCGGCAAGGTACCGAGAGTATTCGATATGCCAAACACAGTAACAACAAAGTCTCCAATGGAGACGTTACTGGGCCCACTCGAGCAAATCGACAATCAACGGGAGGGCCTTTACCTTTACCTTTATAGGTTTTGTGAATTCCATATTCAAAAATACTTCATCTTATGCAAATCTCCTGGAAATATGTACAAAACTACCTAGGAAAGGGAGAAAAGACCAGAGCATGGAGTAAGGGCTAGATCAGGCTAGATCAACAATGTTGAAGACTTGGAAGCAAGTAGAGAACTTAGGGAGGGTTTTATTATTAAATCACTGAAAAGAGAAACTATGTTTACATCAGGAAGACATAGTGTTTATACATAGAAGGACTGTACTTTTTAAGAGGAAAAAGTCAGGAAAATAAAAGTGGGGGGAGGGTTCGAGCGATAGCACAGCAGGTAGGGCGTTTGCCTTGCACACAGCCAACCCAGGTTTGATTCCCAGCATCCCTATATGGTTCCCTGAACACTGCCACTGCCAGTAGTAATACCTGAGTGCATGAGCCAGGAGTAACCCCTGTGCATTGCCGGCTCTGACCCAAAAAGAAAAAAAATAAAACAAGTTTTTAAAATATTTTACTGCTTCTCTATGGAAAAATTTGTAAAGTATAGGAATCATCTTCTCATTACAGTCCTAAATGAATACCCAGTAAAACCACTAGGTCCAGTTCTTAGGGTGTGGGAGAGTAAAATAGGTCTTTGACAATATATATTTTTTATTCTGAATGCTAACTTTATTTTATTATTACTTCCCCCCTTTTTTGATTCACCGTAAGATACAGTTAGAAAGCTTTCATGTTTGAGCTTCGGTCATACAATCATCAAACACTCATCCCTTCATCAGTGCACATTTTACACCACTAAAATTCCCAGTATCTCTCCCCCTCACCTTTCAACCCTTCCTCTGCCTGTGTGGCAGAAAATTTCCCCCATACTCTCTCTCTACTTTGGTTATATTCCATATTTCGACACCAGTCTCACCACCACTCAAACCTGCCGAAAAGGCAATGCTAGATGATTTGTTTTGTATTGCTTGTTATGGATAGAATGTAATGTCCAGTAAATTCTGTGTCATTCTTTTACAGGAGCTTTAGTTTGTAGTCTCTGGGTCTTGGCTGTTTATGCGATTACATGGCGCCGGAGGCAGTCTGTGGGTGTGACTACCAAGCAACAGAAAACTGGGGGTCTGGGGGGAGGAGGCCCAGTCCCGATCCAAGCAGTCATGGAAATCTCAGTCACAGATTCATGCATACCTGGGTTTCCCTGCTGGTCCACTCTCTGGAGAGGTTCATCCCGTCTTGGGTGAGTCTTGTCCAGGAGTATGTGGAGAGTGGCCTTTCTCATGACGACTGTTGGGTTCTGGAGGTTTTTGGCTGCTGGAGTTCTGTTTGGAGCAGGGAGTAAAACTCAACCTGCCCCTCTCCTAGGTGCCCCAGTGAAGACAGCCTGGCACAGGGTTAGGACATTCTGTGGTGCTTTATTCTAGGAGCTTTAGTTTATGGTCTCTGGGTCTTGGCTGTTGATGAGATTATGTGATGCTGGGGGCTGGGGGCAGTTTGTGGGTGTGACTCCCAAGCTACTGGAAAACTCAGAACCTGGGGGGAGGAGGCCCAGTCCTGAGCCAAGCAGGCCTGGAGATCTCAGTCAAAGATTCCAACCTACCTCCATGCTAAAGGCCTTAATTGTGTCTTTTGATCTCTTTCAAGATCTATGGGTCTCTAAAATAAGGCCAATAAATGTGCTTATATAGCAGAGCCAGAGGTTGTTTGTTGATGTGGCTCCCACATACCTAACTTTTGGCCATTTAATTTCTTGGTAAACTTGGCCCCAAGTTGTTGGGCTCTGGCCAAAGGCGCTGCTGCAATTTGGGGTTATCTGGAAGTCTGAAGGCATCATTAGGCTGCTGATGCACTTGCCCCACAGGTACAGGTGACGTGCTATTGACACCATACCCCCTTAACAATAGTTTTAAGAAATACAGGTATATAGTAAAAAAATCAAACTGTATGAAAAGTCAGACAACAAATAGTTCCTCTCATTTGTATTTCCTGTGTATCACTTACTCTCTCCAAAGGCAACAACTGTTACCAGTTTCTTGTTTCCCTGAGGACAGCCAGGCACCGGAGCAGGAGACACTGCACTGTTCTCTTCCTGGAGCTGGGTTTCGTAGTCCCTGGGTCTTGGCCGTTGATGGCTGTTGCAGACTCTCCTGCCCCCACGCCTGGCTGTCCTCATGGGGGCCCCTTGGAGGGGGGTGGGTTGAGTTTCCCTCCCTGCCCTGAGCAGAGCCCTGGCAGCTGAAGACCTCTGGAACCAGCCACAGCCATGTTTAAGACCACTCTCCACATGTTCAGACAAGCCTCACGCATGAAGGAACTGACAGAGGAACCCAGGTATGCGGGACCCCACGCTGAGATCTCCAAGCCTGCTTGGATCAGGACTGGGCCTCCTCCACCCAGATCCCCCATCTTCTAGTAGCTAGGTGTTACACCCACCAACTGCCCCTGGTGCCTGTTATCAAATATACAACATTCCACAATTGCTGAATACAATGTTGGAAGATCTCTTGTTTCAGTCTAGCAGCTATGTTGTCTGCAATTTTTGAGAAGTGATTTCTGTCTGCTTTACATGGAGCTGTGTGTGAGTTCCACAAAAAAGGGTGAATCCTGTGGTGAGTACCACAACCAAAAAGATTAGTGAGCAGCACAGCCAGGAAACGTGTTTGCTGGTGAGTATGTGTGAATACTGTAGTGAACTCCGGAAGAGCCCTACAAAAATTACTTGCATACTTCAAGTAGTTTGAGATCCAGTGAGTACAACTAAAAGGAGCACAAAACTTGATGAAGCCATAGGCAATGTGCAAGCAAAGCAACCTTATATGTCATCCCTGGCAAGGGCCACAGCTCAGCATGTGTGCAATGTCTGTCAATCATCATCCACAACCACTACCAAATGAAGGGAAAAGTATAGAGGGAGATTAGAAGCATTTACAATTTTTTAAATTGAATCACCGTGAGATAGACCATTACAAAGCTGTTCATGATTGGGTTTCAGTCATGTAATGTTCCGACAAAATCTGCCATAGAAGCATTTTTAAAAAGAAAAGTTTTACAAAAAGGCTGCAAGAGGGCATGTCTAGAGACCAGATGGTTCTCCAAGCATGTATGATCCGCATTTTATTTTTTAAAAGAGTTGGAGTTAGAAATAATTTTGAGTTTGTCAAGGAAATAGATGAGGTTACCAATAGCCATGAGGAAGTGAGAAGGGATTTGATAATTGGATGTTAAGTAGCAAAGTTAGAGCTAAAGTGAACTGCACATAATATTTTTAAAATTTAAAATGTTTACTTATTGATTAGTCTAAATTTCAATAACATTCCATAGCAAATTTTCTGTTTACTAGTAACATGCGTTCTCTGTACTGCCTATCCAACATTACAAAGCAATATATCATACCCATTATTTTGTTAAAAGTTGAAAACTGGCACTCACATCCCCAAGGACACGTAGTTATCTTGAATACAACACTGTGTTAGCAAAGACTGTATTGCCTGACTTATTAAAGTCTGGGGCCAAGGTAAACGGAAATTAAAAAACAAGCAAACAAACAAAAAACCCCGAAATTCCCAAAATCAGGTAGAGAGGTTTGGACACACAGGTTTTTGTTTCAGGTTATTGATACAACTCATTCTCTTTGAGCACTTAAATATTTTAGTGCCTGCCCCAAATGCCCCAATTTTGGGAGCTGTCACGGAATTAAAATTGTGACCAATGTCTAAAAGCAGCTCTCTAACCCTAAAAAGTGTGTGTGCGTGGTACTTTTAACGTGTTCTTAAAAAAGCGAGGATGAAATTTCTATTGGACGTCCGTGCGGAAGATCAGGTATTAAGTTTATAAAAGTGTAGGTGGGAACCGACTAGGTTGCAAGCTGAGCGGGCAAACAATCACCTGGGCAATGGCTAAGGCAGAGGATGCAGCAGCGGGTTAGGCAAGGCAGGATCTTTTATTCGAACCCACTGGGAGGCCGGAGAGGGGCAGACTTTTTCCAAGTAGTAGCGTTCTCAGGGACTGGGGAGCTTCAAGCCTACACGTGAGAGCGGAAAAGTCGCGCGTCGGGTCAGCGGAGTGGAGAGAGAGAAAAACTGGGCTGAACGTAAAACGAACGCGTCTAGCAGGGTAAACAAGAGAATTCGCTGGGTATTTCCCCCTCGCTGGAAGCGCAAATGACAAGTAGGATCCTTTACTGACGTCGCCCTGCTGCCGGCGCAGCATGATGACGCACTTGTCGGCCGCAGCCTCCACGTCTCCGATTTCACAAAGGCTTGTGGGAGCGAAGCGAGAGAGGACTGGTCAAGATGGCGGCAGCGGCAGAGTCTCCAGGACACACGGAGATAGGATCGCCCAGGCCCCTGGTGAGCTTGGGGTCTTCGATAAAGGGACCGAGGGTGAAGCAGAGCACCCCCTAAGGAAGTCCGGTGACGGGCCCGTAGCCTAAGAGAGCTGGAACCTCTTGTTCCCGTCAGGCCGTTCTTGAACCTTTCGTCAGCACCAGTCCCCAAATCGCACCTGTTCTTTAGGCTGACCGTTTTCCTTCCTGTTATCCTCCTTCCTGTCCTCTTCCATCTTTCCACGTCTTTTTGTGAACCCCCTATTCACTTTCCTTTCCCAGACTCCCAGGACTTGTTCTCGTCCTCTACATTTGATAAACGCGAAGTTTTAGTTGATCTTTAGGACATTCATTTTGTATTTCTTACAACTTAGTTGTTTCTTAAGTGAATCCACTGCACTTTGCCATTCTCTTCATGATATTCTTTTGTGCCTGTCCTTACAGGGGATAGAATTTCCACGTAAACACAAGCCAAAGTCTGGATAAGTATTTAAGAACACAGATTTGAAATAAAAAAATTTCCTGCGCTGTAAATCACCCATTCTTCCACTTGTGTGAACTAGGGCAAGGAACTTCATGAAGTATTTCTTCATCTGTAAAACGGATATTAAAAAATACTTACCTCAAGTTTTTAAGGAAGGTGAAGTAGTTTATGTAAAGTGTGTAATACAATTATTAGTCCTGTGAAACTGGAGTGTAATTAACATTTTGCTCTTAAGTATCCTCTCTTAAACCAGTTCTTAGTCACTACCTAAAGTGTTTAATTGTATAGAAGACCTCAATAAATGATACCGATCCTTTACTTTCTTTGTAAATTGGCAACTTAACGTGTAGAGGACTGAATTGGGAGTCTGGTGAAACTGATTCCAGTTCCGTTTCTACTTACTACTCAATTTGCTCATCTCATTCATTCAGCAAGTATTTAATGATCTTCCTTTATATCCCAATCACTGTTTTAGGCACTGAACATACAGCAACAAAAGAGAGTGAGTGGGTCCATGTTCTCATGGAGCAGTTGTGACCTTGAGGAAACTATTCTGAACCCTTTACTTTAAAAATGCAGATAGTATCTCAACACAGGAAAGTGAGAGAACTAAATAACATATTTTACATTTTGTGCCCAGTGTGACATAAAGATGCTTAACTGACTTATTTCACTAAGTGCAATTTCCCAAGGTCCATACTTATTAAATATGGCAGGGTTTTATCTTTATAAAAAATTGCTAAGTACTGTTTTATGTGTGTGTAACACATGCATAAAGACTCTACATCTTTACCCATTCTGTCGATCAGTTGGGTGATTTAATTTGTTTGTTCTTTCGGTCACACCAGGTAGTTTCCAAGGCTTACTCCTGGCTGTGCTCAGGAGTCACTGCTTGGCAGGTCTGGGAAGACCATATGTTGGGCTGAGTATTCAAATAAGGATTGCTTTGTGCAAGGCAAGCTCCTTGTCTCTTCTATATCTCTCTGATCCCAAGGTGATTTTGAAACTACAGTTTATTTTCAAGTGAGGAGATGCTACATGCAATGCAAGCACCTTACCTCCTCTAAATCTTCTGGCCCCGAGGTGATTTTCAAATTATAGTTTATTTGCAGGTGAGGAAATGAGACTTGAGAAGGTTTGATGGTTTCCTAAGGCACCACATTCAATTAGTGGACAGGCCTGAAATTTGAATCAAAGTCTGTTTCTTAAACTAAGACTATTTCCATTGATGATACCAAGTCTCTTATTTGCAAAAGCCACACAAGTTGCGATTTGCTAATGTATTTGAAGCACAAGGAAACTTTGTAAAATAAAACTTAAAATTTAAGTCTGCTCAGTTTGTGTGCTCTGGGATTAGAAGGATAATATAAGACACTTAATCATTACTATACTATAACATATATGACTGCACGCAGTTGACCTGGGTTTGTTCTGTACCCCAGATAGTCTGCTGAGCCCTTCCAGGAATGGTACTGAGTTCAGATTCCAGAGTAAGCCCTGAACACAGCTGGGTTTAATTCTTTCCCCCATTTATTAATTTTTAATTGAATCATAGTGATATACACATTTACAAAGTTGTTCACGATTGGATTTCAGTCATTCATCAGTGTATTTTTCCCACACCAATGGTCCCATTTTCCCATCCCATCCCACCGCCCACCACCCGCCACTATGGCAGGCACTTCTCTTCTCTCTCTCTCTCTCTCTCTTGCTTGCTTTTGCTCTCTCTCTCCCTCCCCCTCTCTTTCCTTTTGGGCCTTGTGGTTTGCAGTACAGATAATGAAAGGTTATCAGATATGTCCCTTTATCTGTCCTTTTACCCCCCCCCCCACACACACACACATACACACACTCTTGTGAAGAGCTTCAAACCATTGACTTGTCTTCCTGGCCCCCATTTACCCTTACCTTAAATATTAGTCTCATATCCCACAAATGATTGCAATCATTCTGTACCTGTGCCTCTCCTTCTGACTCATTTTACTCAACATGATACTCTCCATGTCAATACATTTATAAGCAAATTTCATGACTTCATTCTTTATAACAGCTGCATAGTATTCCATTGTGTAGATGTACTATAGTTTCTTTACCAGTCATCTGTTCTTGGGTACTTGGGTTGGTTTTAGATTCTGGCTATTGTGAATAGTGTTGCATTGAACATCAAAATGTAGCTGATGTTTCTGCAGTATGTTTTTGGGTCCCCAGGATATATCCCCAGAAGTGGTATTGCTGAGTCAAATGGGAGTCCATATTGTTTTCCAATAAGGCTGGACCAGTTGGCATTACCACCAAAAGAGAAAGAGAGTTCCTTTCTCCTAACATCTGCGCTAGCACTGATTGTTCTTGTTCTTTTGAATGTGTGCCAGTCTCTGAGGTTTAAGGTGATATCTCATTGATGTTTTGAATTACATGTCACAGCTGGGTTTAATTCTAAACTCTGTTACTGACCTCGTCCTGGGTTATTGGGGGGAAATTACCAAAGTGCTCAATTCCCCCACCCATACATCTTAGTAATACTTAGATTGTAAGGTTGTTATTATTTTGGGTTTTGTACCAGAGCTCGCTCTGCTCAGGGCTAATTCCTGACTGTCAGGAAACACTCCTGGCTGGGCTTGAGGGATCATTTGGTGTTCCATGGATCAGACCCAGCTCTGCCATGAGCAAGGCAAGTGCCTTACCTGCTATACTATCTCTGTGGCCCAAGGGTTGTTATTTAAATGAGTTAACCAATGTAAAATACTTGATAGTGTGCCTTTCACATATCTCAAAAGTAATATTTCTTATTGTTTGCAAAACTGGGAGCTTTAACAGGTAATGAGGAGCTAGTATTTTGAGAAGGGTAAGGGTACAAAATTATGAATAATGAAGGGACTGCCATGACAATGATAGTTGTAAATGATCACTCTGGATAAGGAGTACTGAAAGTAGGTAGGAGGATATACATGATAACCTTTCAGTACCTTTATTGCAAACCATAATGACCAGAAGGGGGGAGAGAGAGACAAGACAGAGACAGAAAGAGAAGAAAAGTACTTGCTATAGAGGCAGGCTGGGTGGGGGGTGGTAGGAGGGAAACTGGGGGTATTGGTCATGGGAAATGTATACTGGTGAAGAGGAGGTTGTTGGAACATTGTATGACTGAAACCCAATCATGAGCAACTTTGTAACTATATCTCACTGTGATTGAGTTTTAAAAAAGATAAAACAAAAACAATGAATTTGACAATATAACATAAGAGTTTCCATGGGGTAATGGCCAGAATCCCTGGGCCAGTTACTCTGTTGTAATTGTTCTGGGAAGAAGTGATGGCTGTCAAAATTGCTGCATTAGTGAGAGACATGGAGATTTGAGGGGAAAAGTAGGATACTTGAGTGTTTGGGCTGCTAGGAAGAATATGTGTTAAATTTAGTTTTTTATGACTATATATAACAGGACTGAAGTGATAATACAGGGGGTAAGGTGTATGTCTTGCACGCAGATGACCTGGGTTTGATCCTTGGTACCCCATATGGTCTCCAAAGCCCACCAGGAGTAATCCCTGATTGCAGAACCAGGAGTCCACTAGGAGTGATCCCTGAGCACAGAGACAGAAGTAAACTCTGAGCACCTCTAGTTGTGACCCCAAATACAAAGACAAAACCATATATATAAGACACACACATATATATGTATATATATGTATATATATATATGTAAAGCAGTCATCTGGCAAATCTTGTGAAAGTGTAATTCTGATTCAGTAAATCTGGTAGTAAATCTGTAGTTCTAATCTGCTCCAGAGTGATGTAGCTATGACTCTCAGTACTCATTTTTGAAAAAGAAGAAAGAAGACTTAAGGGCAAATTATGAGGACAGTGATACCCTGAATAGAAATATAGAAGTAAGAAGGCCCTTAAAGTTGATTAACTCATTTTTGTACTTGTTGAATTTGAGATGTTGGAAGACAATTCAATAAATATGCAGCATACAAATTTAAATCCATTCATGTTCCTAAAACCTGGACTTCAGGACTCAGGAGATGTTAGCACTAGAAAAATTTTTTTAGGAATTATCTGTATAGAGTTGGAAGACAAAATATACCTGTGTATATAGGGAACAGAAACACTAATAGTAATGGCTGTGGCCTAGGATCTGTAAGGAAACTGGTTACAGGTGAAGGAATACACTAGAGACCATGTTACTAGCCACTACTACATCCTTCTCTTTCCCAACAAATCATTAGAGCTAGACTCTTGGACTGAACTGGTTTCTTCTTGGTGCTCTCTGCCTTTGTTGACTCATCCACCTCCTCAACCCCTTTACTATATCTTTGACCCTCTTCTCTGATGCAATTGTAAATGAGGTTGCTTTCTTAATTTCCTTTTTCTCCAGCTCATCATTTCTTTATAGAAATACAACACAGTTATGTGTATTGATTTGTGTCATTACAGAACTCCATTTATTGCTTCTCTTATTTTTTGAAATAGTCCTTATGGAAGGGGTAGAGAATGTCAAGTCTGGGAAATCCTGTGGTCTGGTGGTCTGGCCTTTGTACTTG